TTTTCACCACAGTGCTTGTGAAATGGTCAAACCTCCTAAGGAATCTGTTAGTTGTTCATAATATTTACTAATAAATTGTTAAGCTATATTTAAATATACCGTCTATTTTACTGTCTTCACGTTTTTTGTGTTACCATATAGGATTTCTAAACCGAATGGAATTGGGTTAAGTAAATAATGATTGCTGATCCTGGGTCACCACTTCAATTACGCTCTGAAATGTCTGGAATTTTGCTCAAAGACAACTGCTCCTTTACAACATGTTGAAATCACAATGCGATTATGGTTGGTGTGCCCCATATATTCTGTATTGTGACTTTAACATTTTGTAATAAAGCTGCTTTCATCTTTAAGCAGGTTCGGGCTCCTGATAAGTATCATACTACTGACAACGCACTATGGTCTAAAAACATCCCAAAAATTGATACAATAAAACTGACCAGTGCTGGCCTGTTAGAGAGGGTGTAGCATAGGGGACTGTGTAATCAATACTTCCATAGGCAGAGTGTATGTGTCTCTTGGTAATGTGTCCTCCAATTGATAAAGTTAACCATTATTTCTTTAGCAATATGCTATATTTAACTGGCAACTGATCTGTGGATACAGGAGCTGTGCCCTTTTTTATTTTTGGATACGTGGGGTAAGAGGTGAATTTCTGTCTGTTGTTCGCTGCTATCGTAACACCTAGTTAGGTAGATTTCTCAAATTCCTCTCTCAGTGACAACCTCGTCACCCAGGCAGGACCTATGGGAAAAACTCCAATGGCACATAGCCAATAAAATATGCCATCTCTATACTTCCTTTAGTGCAGTGTTTCTCAACCTTTTTATCAGTCATGGCACCCTTTAAAAGTATACAAAATCTCAAGGCACCCCAGTCTAAAATGTAATGTAAGTTAAGGGGGGCATTCAAAAACAAATTGCAGTACCCCTTTACAATCGGGAGCCCCCCTTTTCAAATCCGAATCCTCCCTTTCACATCGGAGTACCCCTTTACACTAATAGCCCCCCTTCCCATCAGTGTCCCCCTTTTCATATCAGAGGCCCCCCTTTTTCACATCAGAGTTCCCTCTTCATGATTAGAGTCCTCCGTCCCCCTTTCACATCAGAGTACTACCATCACAAAATTTTAAGGGCACCCCTAAGGAAGCCAGAAGGCAACCCGGGTGTTTACGGCATCCTGGTTTAGAAAAGCTGCTCTAGTGTGCTAAAACAGTATTTTTATTGCCAACAGTGTTACTCTTGAAGATTTTCCTACACTTCCTTTCCTGCTGACAAGTTGTCACTGGGACAGGAATTGAGAGAAATTGATTCTATGGGGCCACAGACAGCAGGAAATACTTAGATGTACCAACCCTTCTCAACTCCAAAATAAAGCGAAAAAAAAAGTTCTGGTTATGTACTTTAACTTGTATTTTGATGTGATACCATTCATTTGCAAGCTCCTGCATAGCACATAACTGCAGAGGATGTGGAACTATTGTTTCCTTGTAAATAGTCATGAATCTATTATTTTTTAGCATCTCTGAGTTTACCTGCAGCAAAACAAATAGTGTTGCGCCACTGGCAAATGTGTAGATGTGAGAGGTCCTCTTATGTGTAACAAATATATGGTAGATAAAAAGAACGATACCACAAAAGCCTGAATACTGTTTTGAAATTTAATAACATAGAACATATTACAAAAATAAATATGCTGTCATATACTGCATAAAGTGACGTATAAAAGATTCTCGCTAGTGATAAAAATAGTATGCCGATAAATACTAATACTACAGAAAAAAAACACAGTGCAGTTTCAAGTATATGGAATGTTTCACATTTGGCTTCAAACACTTTCTCATAGGTCACAAAAAATCCCAACCTTCTGATCTGAAATGGTGCCCATAACATGATAAACACTCATGATCATATAGTAACATATACTTATCAGTCTATAAAACTTGTGCTGTCCTAAAATACCATAAGCTATAAAGGATAGAAGTGGGACTTTAACACTGTAATTAAGCCACACCTCTTAAAATGCTATAATTGTAGGTGTTAGTTGTCCTGGATTTACCAGGATTCTTGTACCTTAACTGCTTTGGGTTGTGGATACAAAATAAGTTTTAGGCATTTATGGTTAGGTTGGGCAGAGTTTTAGCCTGTTGATGAAAGGATGTGTATTGTTCTGAGAGTACTGTATGTCTGTAAGTAAAAATGGTATGCTGGTATATAAAGGTGGGGATATTAAATACAACACTGAATAATGTACAATAAAGAAAAATACTGCTGGGTGTCTTATACAAGTAATCGTACCTGATAGCTGTCTATTAACTTTCAGCAACCCACACACTCACGGGGGCTAATCGAGAAAGGGAGGACTAAAGCTGATCATACACCTATAGATTATCTTCACATGTTCTATGGTCAGATGGAAAAAGTGCAACAGATTCCTTCATCTACGCTACACTGTGTGGATGGAGGAATCTCCCACTGGGCCAAGCTTCAGTATCTTGCTAGTTGCCCCGCCGGCTCTCAAAACACCTGAATAATCTGATTGGATGCAGGTATTGTTCAGGTGTTTTGAGAGCCAGTGGGGCCGACTAGCAAGATGCTGAAGCTGGGCCCTGTGGGAGATTCCTCCATCCACACAGTTTAGCGTAGATGGAGGAATCTGTTGCACTTTTTCCATCTCTGACCATAGAAAATCTGCAGATAATCTATAGGTGTATGGCCAGTTTAGGACTGTAAGCCAATGCCAGTCTAAAACTGGGTTTTGTTTAGAGAAGGGCACATGGATGACCTCATAAGCATGTGGCTGCGGTTTCTCTGTCCAATCAGCAAGCGAAGGTAACAGCAAGTTGACATTGCTGTATTGCTTATCTGTACAGGAGTGAACAGAATCAAAGATTTGACACGTAAAACAGTTTACTCTCAACCAGATATGTATCTTTTTAAATGGAGTTCGGCTTTAGAAGAACTATAATAAGCTGGTCGCATAACAACTTCAGTGCACTGCAGAAAAACTACAATGTTTTCTGACAACACTTTATATGGTCTTCCTTTACCTCTAACAGATATATGTAGGAGAAAACAAATAATTGGGACCCGTATGTGGCCATTTTCTTCCTTAGGGTCCTTTCATACAGGCACCCATCTCAGCAGTGAATCCTAGACGGAGTCGGATCAGAATAGAGATGGGTGTGACATCCATGTTCAGATTTTTCCTCTATACTGGGAATAACGGACCCATGTAATCACTAAGGCTGTATGTAAATGGACCTGCCTCCACCTATATGCGCCCATATCCATTTAGGTAAGTAAAAGCAGACCCAGGCACAAACTTTTTCCATTTAGCCCGACAAACCTAAACAGGTGGATATAGGCAGATGCAGATCCGCTTACATCCGGCCACCTATAGGGAGTGTACTGCAGTCTGTTTTGCACCCGTGTGGTCCCATAAACTCATGGAGAATAAACTGGCTATGTGAAAGGGTCCTTAGCTTGTCAGAACCAGGCAAGTGTGATCCAGTAAAAAAAAACAGTTCTGTACCTGTGAATGCAAATAGCTTTCTCTTATTTGCTTTACAATAAGCTCTGGTGCAAACAGGTTAATGATATAGGGGGGTGTGGGCACAAACACTACAGTTTCTGGGGTATTAGACTATAGCCAGGACATTACGATTTCTGTCATTGTGTGAGAGATAGGTAAAAGTGTTAACTGGTTCCATTTGGCAATTTCAGCATTTCCCAGTGTAAATTCAATCTTGATTTTCCATTAGAGTCGAGGTTTAAATAAGGGCGCTTGCATTGTTGTATCTTCTGCAGACTTCTTAAGTGTTTGGTAGATGTGCACAGGTTTTCTTCTCATCATTCAGTGAAGACATTGACTGGTAAAGTGTTCCTGAGACTATACGTGTCTCCCCCACTAGAGGAGTGCCCAGAGGAAGCTTTAGCCCCCAACACCGATGTTTCAGCTTCTTTAATTTCCATGGCTCTTTTATACAGCTCTGCTGCCTTTTCAAAGTCACCTTCTTCGTACCTGGGAAAACAAGCAGGACCCATAGTATAATTGTTACCAGTGAGTTTCTTGCATCACTTTTTAAATGGATTTAATTTAATTCAATAAGTGAAAATGTTCTATGTTAGGGGCCATCTAAATATTGTTATTGTGCCTAAGCAGTACCCTAAAACATGTAATTTTTGTCTTGAATTCCTCCTGAAAAATAGTAGTGAACTTTCTGGCATGTGAAGGGTGTATACAACTTCATAGCTGTGTATCTGCAGTGTGAGAGCTGCTGCCGTTGATGGCAAGTTCAAGGAGATTTGGATTAAAATGTCATGATGCCACTACTGTTCTCTTCACTGGGTGATGGCTCTGACATGAAGAAGCAAAGCCCTGCATCTACCAAGATGTCTCCCCCATGCAAAAAAGAAAGATCAGTTGCAGAGAGACCACAGGGGATACTGGTGGCTAATCCTTTGGAAACTGTGCCCCCCCAAAACAGGCAGAAGGTAGAGTTCAGTTCCCCTTTAAAGCATACAAAGTATCAATAATTTCTGTTCAAAAAGGTTCAGTAGCTTGAATAAGATTTAGTGTTTATTTGGTATAATTATATAGGTATTATTGTGTTACTGTATTCAAGTTTGACTAAAATCACAAGTTTACAATCAAGACATTTTTCATAGGTACTTTACCTTGTCAATATTTTACAAACCTGGGCAATTCAAGCATATCCCGATGCAGGATTCAGGGGAAACTAGTACTTCTAGTTTATTCAACTATTCTTGAGTGGGGATAGCTTCTAATGAATGCTGGTATGCCTGGCTGTTATCATCAAACACTACACAACCAGTAAGGATTATTATTTGGGGATGGATATGTATATGGCTGTCGTGGGGGGCAAAGATAACTCTCTGACCACCTTGGAGGGTAAACATTGCATTAATTAAATCAGCGCTACATTGTTCTTGGCTACTAACTATCTGGAGCTTTCACTTTGATTTTTTGGAAGAAAAGCCTGGCCCTGTAACATTAAAAGTCATATATAGAGGCTTCAGAGACCAGGCATTTGTGGCAAAAGTTGTGATCTGCATACAGCTTCTGCAGCCTATAGTTCTTCATCTGATCAGTTAAGCATGTGGTTTTAGAAATAAAATAAAACCTCTGTAAAATGAATGGATCCTCTGGCAGTCGCCGGCCAGCTAAATTAGGACCCCACCTGGAGCTCCTCCCACTGGACCAGCGCTGACTCGCCGCTGCTCTACTGACCGAATGTAAGTGGGAAAGAAAAAAAAAACATAGCGCAAACATCGGGGGATTTTGACAAGTACAAGTACTTTTCAAAATGCCCTGTTTTTTCCACCCTCACCCTGCAGCGCCGTAAGGCGGCCGCATGACTTGCCTTGCGGTAGCGCCGGGCCTGCCTGGAAGAAGAATAAAAGAATGGGGCTTTGCACCCGGTGAACCTGCATATAATGACAATGTGCTGGTAAAACATACACATTAATGTCTTCCGATAGAAATACAACAACATGCCTAAAATAAAAAGAACACTTGTGATTGCTGAAGATTACCTTAGTACAGCTAAGTTCTTTAGTGTTTCTCCAACCCTAGGGTGCAGTCGCCCCAAGCTGTCTTCATAAATCTTCATGGCACGGTCATAGAGAGGTAAAGCTTCCACTTGTTTTTTCTAGGTGGGATAAGCCATACATAAATTTATATTATAACACAATAACTGTAGGTTGTTAGGGAGAGAGCAACGCGTTTCGAGGAATAACCTATTTTTCAAGCTCGAGTGGAACGATCGTTCCACTCGAGCTTGAAAAATAGGTTATTCCTCGAAACGCGTTGCTCTCTCCCTAACAACCTCCATCCCACCACTGATCTGATCACCCGTCGCCTGTCAGCTGCTCCCACATACCGACTCCCGTACACTGTTCAGGTGGCCATACACTCTACAACCATCGCAAGACTTTAGTCTTGCGATGGTTGTAAAGGGATTAAAAAAAATTACGATCTGCCTATCTTGGACAGGCAGATCGCACTCTCGATCATCGCAAGCCCGCCCCCCTGAGGGGCGGGCTTCCGATGACCGCAATGCTGAACGGGCAGTGTGCGCGTGCGCACACCGGCCCGTTCAGCATTTATCTTCCGAGCACCGTTCTAACCAGCCGAGAATCGTACGATTCCCGGCTGGTTTTCGAACATGCTGGTTCGACAGAAGACGTGCGACCGTACAGTAGAAACGGTCGCACGTCTCTGTTCACACTGCTCGATTATCGTACGAAAAACCGATCGCATACGATTATCGTACGATAATCGCGCAGTGTATGGGCACCTTTCCAGTCAGATCTGGCAGAGACCGAGCACTGATAACCACAGCCGAGGCCACAGCAGCCCAGTCTGCACCCGACACCGCTGGGTCTCCCCCACACTGCCCAGATCTCGCATTCTTTTAGCGGCACCTCCCCTCTCCTCGTTCACAGCCTCCCTCCCTTCTGTGGACGAACTCCTCCAGGCAGCTCACCAGCCAGATTCGGGCACACATCACGGGTGTCCCGATCCTCCACACAGGCTGTCCATCTCCTGGTTGCTGGATCCACATGTAAGTGTCAATACATTGATTCTCTGCCATGTCTTGTCCAGTTAGCTAGTGCTCCATTGTTGTTGCGCTCTTTGTGTTCTTTTGTCGATCTGCATTTACAGGTTCTCCTCCTGTTTCCCAGGGCTGCATGTTTTTTAGTTAGCCTCCCTCCCATCCTATGGAACTCTTTACCCCAACCTGTCCGACCATCTCCCACTCTGACTGCCTTTAGGCGATCCCTTAAGACTCATCTCTTCAGGGAATCCTATCCCACCTCAACCTAACCACTCAACCATCACATTCTCAAATAATTCATCCCCACACAGCTACCTCCTCATGTATCACTTGCCCCTCCCTTCTGGATTGTAAGCCCTCACGGGCAGGGCCCTCCTTACCATCCTGTCTTGAATTGTGATTGTAATCTCTTCCTTATATTGTAAAGCGCTGCGCAAACTGTTGGTACTATATAAATCCTATATAATAATAATATTTAATTTATTATAACAGACTAAAAGTAAAAACTTTATTTACTTGAATATCCAGAGGTTACCAAATGAGTTACGTACAAAACCTGCAAACTGTATAAACTAAAATGTTGCAGTCACCACTAGATAATTCTTACCATCTGACAGTACAATACGGCAAGATTCACCAAGGCAGTAGCAACACTCGGGTGTTTGGGACCAAATGACTTCTGTCGGATTTCTACAGTGAGTTCATACAGAGGTGCGGCTTTGTCAAGCTTTCCCTAGAAAATATTCAGAAAGTGTTTACACAAGTGAGGTATGAAAGATGAATCATTCAAATTGGCAGTATTAACATATTTCATAGACAACTGCCATTTGTAATCTGAAGACATATAAACCAATTAAAGGAGAACCATGTGGTCGGTGCTTTTCCCCATAGTTCTCCTAAGGGTAACGGGAGGACACAAACTAGCGTCCTCCCGTCACCCAAAGCTCAGTATATCAGGAGCTACAGTTCGCGGTATACTGAGACGCTGCAGCCGGGACAGATCCTGACAATGCTGTCTGGATCCACCCAGCTGCGTGAGTGACAGCTGGCTCTGCCTATCTAGAGGCAGAGACAGCTGTACACACCCCCACCCCCGTCCGTTCCGCCAGTCAGCGCTGGAGGATCGGACAGGGGAGGGGGATCCCTGCAGGGAGCCGTGAGTGACAGTCACTGCTCTCTGCAGGCACAGGATCGAGATGTGAGCGAGCGACGGAATGTGTTCGCTCACTTCCCAATATATTGAGCCGACGTGTGACTGTTTCATTGTCACAGGTCGGCTAGAACTATGAGGCGGAGTGATTTTCACTCGCCTCATTAGTTCTACTTTAAGCATATTCCCAATGTCACCAGTTTGCATAGTTTAGGCTAGGTGATGAGGAGAAACTTATTCTTAGGCTGAACTTAAGGCAGAAAAAAAAACACCATTCATGCAGGTGTGTATTCCTTAAACTAAAATTTTTATGTTTTTACTCACTGTAAAATCTTTTCCTTGTCCAAGCAAAGGATGTCAATTAATGTCAGGACAGCCAAAAACCAACCAGCTGAGAGGTGTTTGACAGCAAACCACCGCTAACAGGCCCAGTGTGAACAAAACTGAAAATTGCGTGCAGCTTAAGGGCTTCCTAAGGGTTCAACACCCAAAGCTGAGGCTGACTCCCGCTTAGTAGGAAGAGGGCAAGACCAGGTGGTAACAGAATGGAAACTATGCCTGAAGCTAGAAAAACAAGAATGATTGATTCAAAGGTAACTCCCAAGGTGTGAATGGTGGTCCCTGCAACCTCTTAGAGAACCAAGTTTGATCCACTGGAGTATGCATGACCAACTAGGAAGGTACATTAGAGCTTCGTATAAAAGAAATAGGCAGGGGATAGCAGGAAGTTCTCCTCACAAAACAACAAGGAGGAAAACATCCAATAAAGCTGAGAATCAAGCTCGACTCCCACCTAGCTATAGAAAAGAAGGTGCGCCCCTGGTGCAACCTTAGAAAGGAACATGCCTGAGATAAGCTGCCTCTCCTGCAGTCACACACATATAATAGAATGTACACAGCACTAATTAAATCTATTATCAAGTTAACCACTAGATGGCAGAACAATACTGGGAACCTTTTCCTGGGAGAACAGTATTTCTAACTCTACAATTTAGAGCCTTGATTCTCAACTGGTGGGTCGTGACCCAAAAGTGGGCCAGGACCCCATGTTCAGTGGGTCCCCACATGCTTTCCACTTTTATAGGTGAGAGGTACAAAATATGCTGCCCGGCACCGAGTGTCAGCTTGAGGTGGGGTGGGTGGGGGTATGGCCACGAAGGAGCTCCATCCATATGCTGAATTTATGCTCCATTTACTGAATAACTGCTTCAGTTGAAGCACAAAGCTTACTGTATTCTCTTATTGGCAGTGTTTTATTCGTATAGGACAGATCAAAGGTTTACTTACTTTTCTTTTGTAAAGCACAGCTAAATGTTTTACTGTATAGGCCAATGATGGATGGTCTGGAGACAGAGCTCTCTTTCTTATGTCTAATGCTCTTTCATACAACTCCTCCGCCTTGTCGTATTGCTTCTTCTCATTGTATAAAGCAGCCAGATTGTTGAGAGACTGTGAGCAGTCTGGATGTTCTGGACCCAGGACCCGTTCCCTCATTTCCAGTGAACGTTTAAAAAACATTTCTGCTGTTCTACATTAAAGCAGAAAACAAACATGAAACAATGACAAAGACCTTGCATCATTATTATCCTCAAAGACACAAGACATATGTTTCTAGCGAAACAAAATCAAACATCATATCCACAAAGGCACATTAAGGTTGGGGGCAAAGTGGGTGAAAATCAGAGTTAGACTTACCGATGACTCTATTTCCAGGAGGCTTCCAGTACAGCACCTGACAGAGTCTAACTCCACCGTTGGAGATAGAAAAAACAATTGCCACAGACTTTAAAAGGCTCTTAAGAGTCAGCCAGTATTTGTCCAAGAAAGCAGGAATGTAACTGAAAGACAGTAGGGTTTAAACACATAGGGAGGGAATCCCTGCTGTCCTGGAAGACTCCTGGTAATAGTTACCGATAAGTCCAATTCTGATTATACCTAGTCGTCTATCAAGGACAGCACTTGAGATGATAAGCAAGAACTTACCAGGTTAGGGAGGGACAACAGCCAAACCCGGTTGTTAGGCTGTTGTCCTTTTTATCCTAAAAGACTGATTCTGAGCAGAGAGAAGGTCAAGGCAACAGTGGTGAAACAATGTAGCTGCTCAACACATTTGGTCCAGAGTGGCATCAGCCTGCTCAACCCAAGTGGTAGACAAAACTTGATTATGCCATCAGAGATAAAACAGCCATTTTTCTCCTAAGGCTTTGTATTCATCTTGGAAAGCTTGCTTTATCCATCAAGCAATGGGATTTTGGGAGGCTTTATGCCTAAGTAACCCAACACACAATTTCTGTCATCTACGGAATGATTTTCATTTTTGTTAGCTGGATTGCGACAAATGGAAGATAGCAAGAAAGGAAGAAAGGCAGATTGTTTTGAAGAACTGCTGTAGCAAAATGTAATGTCATGTTTTTTTCCTTTGGTACTCTGGTAGATAAATCTTCTATATCACAGAATCCACCCGATATCTGAGGAACACTATTTTTTGAGAAGGAGGCAGACAGCACCAATTTACAATGTAATCCATTCAAGACCTTGAAGAAAGGTCAGGACTGTTAACAGATCCTTCTTCAATTAAATCTCTGAGATAGCAAAGAAGAGAAGATCATCTAAGTATGGAATTACAGAAATCCCCTGAAGTTTTATGGGTACCAGGGCCTCAGCCATAACTTTGGTGAATATTCTGGGTACTGAGAGAAATTCTGAACTGGAAGTGCCTTATCTTCCCTTCTCAGAGTACTGCCAGTTGGAGGTAGTGGTAGGAGGCCAGAAGTATTGTTAAATGCAGAAAGGCATCTCTTAAGTCAACTGATGCCATGTAGTTTTGAGGTGGCAAAATTGTTTTTCACTGAAAAGATGGAATCCATATGGAACTTTAAGTTTAGGATTAGGCAAAATTTGCCTGATGGTTTCTGAACTTCAAAAACCTGACAGTAGAAATGTTTGTTTTCTTCCTCTATGGGTACTGGAATCAACACTTTCTGATTTACTAGTTCCATTAGAAGCGATATCAAAGCCAAGGCTTTCGTTTGATCTTTTGGAGGAGCTTGCAGGAAAAAACTCAAAGGTCAGAAAACTCCAAAATACAACCTTCACCTGAATTTAAATGTTGGAGGTTATATTTTAAAACCACTCCTTTGACTTGCTTTTTTGTCCCAGCCATGTTTTTTTTTGGCCTGACTCTTTAGACATCTGCCCTTGGTTTTTTGAGTTTAAAAAAAAAAAAAATGCTTGGCTGTAGCCGCCTTCTTTTTGATGAGAAAAGCCTTCCTTCTATCTGCTGTATGGTCCAAGACTGCTTCTAAGTGAGGGTGAAACAGCAAATGTATGGACAAAGTAATGTCACAGAGGTGAAAATCTGAAGAAGGATCTCTGGGCCAAGTTTTGAACCATAAGGCTCTGCGGAAGGAACTAAGGCAATCCACAGATTTAGCGAGCATCCTCTTGGTAGTGGCAAGAGCCGACTTCAGGTTCCTAAGGGATCCCCATGTCTTAAAAAGCAAGTCAGTACGCTTTGAAACCTGAGAAAAAGGCTGCTTTAAGCCTAGAATTTTTGTTCCTATGAAGAGCAAGATCATCATTGAGGAGAAACCTGAACTTTATGATCTTAGAAAATGTAGGCTTCTTCTTGGGATCAAGCCACTATTATTGAATGGATTCTGTGGGCATTTTATGGAGAATACACAACCTTTATCTTTTTTGAGGTTCTGATGCATACAATCATATAAAGCCATAGACACCTTTTCTTCCAGTTTGTCAAGTGTCTTAGAAGGTCAGCCACATACTCCAAAAAAGTGTAAACCTGCAGATTCAATTACCTTGCTTTGTGATCTCGATGTCTGCGCTCTCCTCTCTTAAGAGTGGCCAGCTGGATCCTCACCCCTTCTCCCAGCATTTCAAAGGCCAGAACTCATGGCCCATTCCTTTCCCCAAGCTCCACCCCTACCAGTGATGTCTAGCTTCTTCAGTCAAAGGGAAATTGCACATGCTAGCTTAAAAAGCATCCGATGCATCTGCCTTTACCAAGGGGCAGAGCATGAGGAGGTCCTTGAACTCTCTGAGCATGTAGCTGAAAGGGAAGGGGGGGACCCAGGCAGCACCCTCACCCGTCAGTAGGCTGGCAAAGGTGGCAGATGGAAATTATTGCACAGCTTCTGCTGCCAAGATGAAAAAAAATCAACCCCAGTAGGTACGTTTTTGAGTGGTGGAGGATAGCACTCATGCGAGCCTGCTTCACATCTAAGTTCCAAAAAAGTCACTGACTAAAGGAGATAACATAATACAGTAATTGGCTGATTCCTAAGTGTATGGCAATTGTGTTTCCTGCCTCAGGTGGGTAGAGTTATGCTCTCTCTGGAGCTCTCCTGGATAGATGACTGGGGAAAGAGACAATTTGTCTGCTCTGTGTCAGTAAACATAGAACTGATGACTAGAGAATTGGGAAAACTGTAGCCCTAGGTGGAACTCCATTGCATTATGGAAACCTCTGCCTGGAAATGTGGTCAACATATAACCTTTTCTATGCTCTCAGAACAGGATGCCAATTGTACACATCAACCGAATCTGATAAAGTTGAAGCTTCCCAATTGAAGGCAGGTTAATCAATATATACTTTGCATGTACAGTATATGATTTACCATCACTGGTCATATATTCAGTAAGATTTTGAGTACAGTACAAAACATTATTATTATTGTACAACATTGTGCATGCAGTAACAGAATCCTCCTCTTTCATCTACTGAGACATATTATGCCTTAAACACCTTCTGAGGGACAAGAAAACACAGCGGAGACATGTTCAAAAATGTATTATCTCCCTCTGTTTTCAATCTTATACAGGTGGGCAGCATTTTGAATGCCCTGCCATGGGAAATACTAAACTAAAACCAAATAGATCTCCATTAAGAAAAGCTAATAGAGTGATGCTGCACAAAGCTGACACAGATTCAGTTAGAGACAGACCAAGGGCCCAAAGGAACGTAAAAAACACAAGAGACTTATTGCTATCCTTTATAGGATTCATGTCAGTGGCTGCAGCTTTAAAATAAGTTGGAGACACATACGTATTGATCACATAGAGCTTCTGGGGACAGAAGTGTTGCTCTGGTGATTTAAGCTAACAATTGTGAAACTGGTCATGTATATAGCATTGAGTGTTTGCAATGCCTGTGGGTTGCAGATCTGACTCTATCTCTCAATCTGTTTTGTGGTGTTGCATTTCATCTGATTTTTCCAAATGTAATTTATGAACACAGAATCAGTCTTTTGCTGCGTCAGCTGTATTGGCTGCCCACTAGGATCCACATTTTATTAATATTGATATTTGGCATACTTTGTTAATTCCCATATTTGTTGTTGCTATCTTTTCTATGCCACACATCTGTATTCTAAATGATTGTAAACGTAACCAAAAGTAACCAATTCTTTTGCTTATTGATTGAAGAAACATATAACAAGCTTCAATAAGCCAACTTTTCAGGACCACGCAGGGTCTCTTCTTCAAGGCGACGTAACATTACTATGTTGCCTTGAAGAAGGGACACTGGGTGGCCCCAAAACATTGTCAAATTGACACTTGTGACATGTTTCTTTAATAAATAAGCAAAAGAATTGAATGCTTTCGACTGAGTGCTGGTGATCTTCGTCTTTACAAACTTGTGACAGATAGTAAGGAGCCCTTTGCGGTATTATAAGTAGGACAAAATGACTTTTACATGTTAGGAATCAATACTTAGTCACTCCAACAATAGCAAATACTTACTCAAGGTTATTCTGTAAGTAATACAAAACTCCAAGTTCATTCAGTGTTCGAGCATTGTCTGCAGTGTCTTTGCCCAGCGTTACTTCCTCCAGCAGAAGAGCACGGCGTCTTAATAATGCAAACCCATACTGAAGAGTAACAAAGAACAAGTGTTAAGCTTTCTTCTGGGAAAGATAAGCACTTTGAGTGCCTCAACTTGTTAGTACACAATGCAAACAGTACCAGAGTACCCTAATTATCTTCATCTGGCTGCAGCTTCCAAGAGACTGATAAGAATTTATTGTATGCATATAGAATTTGTTTTATTAACATCAAAGGAGCAATACAAATAATAGTAGTACTGACATGATCAGTGTGGTGTATACTCAACCAATGGACCGCTAAGCTATACTACCTCTTGACTCCAATGCCAGCATCCATGCAACATTTCATAAAAACGGAACTGAACCCTCCTATCCCAAGGTATAAAAAGATGGTTTGAGAGTGGACATAATAACTGTGACAGTTATCACCAGAGGCATGCCTTGATTGTAGCATACACTCTTTTTATTAAGCAGGCGTTGGGAGTTGTGTCAAACCTGGAGTTGGTCTTCAGAACTTATTATAATGGCACCCAACTCTA